TTGCTGTGAGCTGTGATGCCATGGCACTCGACCCAGGGAGATAGCTTGAGGCTCCGTCTCAAAAAATAATAATAATAATAATATGTAAATAAATGAGCCTGGCAGTGTTCTGATTCAATTTTTATTTATGGGCATGACATTTGAATTTTATTTTTTTTGGTTTTTTTTGAGACAGAGTTTCACTATGTTGCCCTCAGTAGAGTACCATGATGTCACTGCTAACAGCAACCTCAAACTCTTGGGCTTAAGCAATTCTTTTGCCTCAGCCTCCCAAGTAGCTGGGACTACAGGCATATGCCACAATGCCCAACTATGTTTTTGTTGCAGTTGTTCTTGTTTAGCAGGCCTGGGCTGGGCTTGAACCCGTCAACCTAGCTACCTGTGGCTGGTGCCATCACCACTCTGCTACAGGCACGGAGCCTGAATTTATTTATTTTTTTTTTTCAGTTTTTGGCCAGGGCCAGGTTTGAACCCGCCAGCTCTGGTATATGGGGCTAACACCCTACTCCTTGAGCCACAGGCACCTCTCATGGAGCCTGAATTTTATGTAATTTTCACATCATGAAATATTCTTTTGATTTTTTTTCAACCATTAAAAACATAAAAATATGGCAGTAGACAAGATTGTGCCCATGGGCTGTCATTTGCCAATCTCTGCTATAAAGGTCTAAAGTTGCCTAGCCAATGAACTTCTTGTACCAGATGGTATTTGGTTGTTAAAGATATTTGTACAGGGTGGTACCAATAGCTCAAAGGAGTAGGGCGCCTGCCCCATATGCTGGAGGTGGCGGGTTCAAACCCAGCCCCAGCCAAAAACTGCAAAAAAAAAAAAAAAAAGAAAAGAAAAGATATTTGTACAGCAATTAAAAAATGGGCTGGGCACAGGGGCTCATGTATATAATCCTAACACTCTGGGAGGCTAGGGAAGAAGGATCACTTGAGGTCAGGAGTTTGGGACCAGCCTGAGCAAAATGAGACTTGAAACCTTGTCTTTATTAAACATAGAAAAAAATAGCTGGAGGTGGTGGAGTACACCTATAGTCCCAGGTACTCAGGAGACTGAGGCAAGGGGATTGCTTAAGTCTAGGAATTTGAGGTTGCAGTGAGCTAAGATGATACCACTGCACTCTAGGCTGGGCAACAGAATGAGAACTTGTCATGAAAAGTCATTTTCCAGATATTTATACTTAAAATATTTTTACTGAATTTAGGAGTGGCTAACCCTCCTATAACTACCAAACATTATGGAAAACAATACTTTGGCTTGTGATTCCTTCACAGGCCACATTTCCATTTCTATGCTCTTCCTCATTCTAAATGGCAAAGAGGAGTGGAGTCATGCACACCTGGATTCTGATACCTAAGTAAGAAGTACCACTCCTTTTCAACTAAGGCATTTTGAGCAAGTTACTTTACTTCTCAGCATCTCATTTTTCCTATCTTATGGAATGCAAGTATTAGTATGTACTTTGTAGGGCTGTTGAGAAGATTAAATGAAATAACTCATGTAGGGTGGCGCCCATAGCTCAGTAGGTAGGGTGCTGGCCACATAACTGAGGCTCTCAGGTTTGAACCCTGCCCCAGCTATCTAAAGCAACAATGACACTGCAACAAAAAAATAGCTTGGCATTGTGGTGGGCACCTATAATCCCAGCTACTCAGGAGGCTGAGGCAAGAGAATCGCTTGAGCCCAAGAGTTTGAGGTTACTGTGAGCTGTGATGCCTGGGCATTCTACCCAGGGCAACAGCTTGAGACTCTGTCTCAAAAAATATAGAGAGAGAGAGCTCGTGTAAACTGCTTTGTACAGTGCCTGACATATAGGACTACATAACACCTCTTTCTCTGATGCCTCAAATTCATTTTCTGAGTTACCATAACTCTGGAAAAGGTGAAGAGGTGACATCCCAAATATCTTAGTGCAGATGTGACGT